GATGCAGTTCCTGCCATGACACCAGCTCTGGCCATTCAGCTTCCCCAGCACTCTGGGACCCTCCACAGGAGGCCCACGCTCAGCTAACCCACGGGCAGCATCGGCAGCATCGGCAGGGCTGGCCTGCCTGGGATCACTGGGAAGCTACACGTGCAGACCTCAGGGTTGCCCTCCTCTGGCCAGCGGAGTCAGACCAGGGAGACCGGCCAGCACTCTTGCCTGCAAGAAACAGGGGCCATGGTCTGCAGGCTCGGATCACTGCTCAGCTTCCCACACAGCCCAGGCTTTCTAGTCAAATTTTCCTCAGATTGGGAAGTAGCCGGTGACTGCCCACAGAGGCTGTAGCTGTCCCTGCCCACTGCAGGTATCGAGCAGGGACCTCACTAACCCCCCATGCCCTGCTCAAGCCTACGCTGGGCATGGAGGCAAGCCCATGACCACGCATGTCTGTGAGCTCATCCTCTGGCCATGCCCACCACACATGTCTGAGCAAGCCCATGACCACGCATGTCTCTGAGCTCAGCCCCTGGCCATGCCCACCACATGTGTCTGAGCAAGCCCATGACCATGCACATCTGTGAGCTCAGCCCCTGGCCATGCCCACTACATGTGTCTGAGCAAGCCCATGACCACGCATCTGTGAACATAGCCTCTGGCCATGCCCACTACATGTGTCTGAGCAAGCCCATGACCACGCATCTGTGAACATAGCCTCTGGCCATGCCCACTACATGTGTCTGAGCAAGCCCATGACCACACACATCTGTGAGCTCATCCTCTGGCCATGCCCACTACATGTGTCTGAGCAAGCCCATGACCACACACATCTGTGAGCTCAGCCCCTGGCCATGCCCACTACATGTGTCTGAGCAAGCCCATGACCACACATCTGTGAACATAGCCTCTGGCCATGCCCACTACATGTATCTGAGCAAGCCCATGACCACGCACATCTGTGAGCTCAGCCCCTGGCCATGCCCACTACATGTGTCTGAGCAAGCCCATGACCACGCATCTGTGAACATAGCCTCTGGCCATGCCCACTACATGTGTCTGAGCAAGCCCACGACCACACACATCTGTGAGCTCAGCCCCTGGTCTGAGCAAGCCCATGACCACACACATCTGTGAGCTCAGCCCCTGGCCATGTCCACTACATGTCTGAGCAAGCCCATGACCACGCATCTGTGAACATAGCCTCTGGCCATGCCCACTACATGTGTCTGAGCAAGCCCATGACCACGCATGTCTGTGAGCTCAGCCCCTGGCCATGTCCACTACATGTCTGAGCAAGCCCATGACCACGCATCTGTGAACATAGCCTCTGGCCATGCCCACTACATGTGTCTGAGCAAGCCCATGACCACGCATGTCTGTGAGCTCAGCCTCTGGCCATGCCCACTACATGTGTCAGCAAGCCCATGACCACGCACATCTGTGAGCTCAGCCCCTGGCCATGTCCACCACACATGTCTGAGCAAGCCCATGACCATGCATCTGTGAACATAGCCTCTGGCCATGCCCGCCAGAGGGGGCCCTGCTACCCCTGCCTGGTGACCATAGAGGCTCTAGCGAGCTTTCGGGAGCACGGAGGCCAACAACTTTGTGGGAGAATGGAACTAGACGTCTATTGTGATGCAAACATTTTGAAATCTGTGCTTTCTCAGAATATCCCATTTCCAAGAACGTTTTGCAGACCTCTTTTCTGCACAGATGACAAAACTTTCTGCACCAAGACAAGCTTATGGCTGACTTCCCGTTCCCAGAAACTTTGTGAAATGCTCTTATGGCACCTGCATTCTAAAGAAATGAATACACGGTCTGTGCCTGCGTGTAATGAGCCTTCCTCAGCCCACTGCGCTGACGCTCATGCCGTCAGTCACCCCTTTTCCATATTTACACGTAGGAAGCAAACTGTTGTGCTAGGGGAGAAAATAAAGAATTGTCTGCACCACAAGCTCTCCTAGCTTTCTGTGACACTAAACCCCCAGAGGAAACGCAGACTAATGCCAGGTCTCTCAGCAGAGCAAACACAGCGAGAGCAAGTGCGTCCAGGAGCCATGTCCCCTGCACCGGCAGAACACACGGAGCAGCATTTGTAACCCCCTCAGACATGCACACACCTCACCTTCTCCCCGTCATTCCTCCTGCCCTGGCACCTCTGCCCCTGTCCTGGGCCATGGCTACATCACAATCCACCCCTGCGCCTGTAAGCGTGGTCCCTGGGTGCCACACCTGCCTTCACCTGCTCATCATTCATCTGGGCTCTCCCACAGCTTGCAGGGTGCACCATCAATTCTGTACCCAGCAGCAATGCGGCCTGGCCAACATGGCCCAGTGCTGCCATCGCTCTGAGCTCCAGCAATGCCTGGCGCCATGCACAAGGTTCCCTCTCCCTGGAAGGCTCCTCCCCCACCCCATCCCCCAACACACACACTCCCAGGTCCCTGTCCTCTACCTGGACCTCACAGCTCTCACTCACATCTTGTTTCAGAGCTCCCACTCTGCACAGCCTCCCACCCTGTGCACTCGTGAGGTCAGTTCCTCAGGATAACGTCTGGCAAAGCACACACCTGTTCCTGCTCAGTAGTCTCAGCCATGCGCGCGATTGGCAGCACCAGTGAATCCTGTTACCCTTCCCATGCTGATCCAGGGGAGTGGGTGCCTCCCGGGCCACCTCCTGCGGCTCTGCTTCCTTGGCCAAAGCCTTTCAGAAATGCTCACAGCTGATGCCGCCTCTCCATCTGCTGTGCAGGTCAGGAAGTGGAGGCCCCAGCTGGCGACTCTCCCAGGTGGACAGTACTAAACAGCTCAAAGCAGCACCAGGCAGGCCGCCTGCAGGCTCACTCAGCTAAGGGCCAACCATAATGAAGGGTCTGTGTCTGAGACCTGAGGCCTTGAGAGCCTGCGGGTGCCTCCTCCTCAGACACGGCCCCTCCAAGATGTATCTCCATGGACGCTGCCCTGGGCCTCAGCCCTGAGGGTGCGGCTACACTGGTGGTGTCCACGTGGAGCCACAGAGGTGGCCACCTCTGCTGACACTCACAGGAAACACTCATAGGCTCTCCACCCGCTGCCTTATTCCATCTACACTGGCTGGTGCTTCCTGCCTCGAGCCCCATGCTGGACACATGGAGCCCACGGCAGGGCTGGCCATGGAGAAGCTTGCCAGCCATGGACATTCCACCCTGATAAGAGGGACTGCAAGGAGGAGGCCACAAGCATGCTGGGAAACACAGAATGCAATTAATCTGAGAATCACAACGTGTCTCTCTATGCTCCCAGCAAAGCCAAAATCTTGCACCAGGCATTCAAGTCCCTCGCAATGAAAGGACGCTCTTACCTGTGCAGTCTTCCACTAAGCAAGCTCTGCGGCGGCTTTTCCAGGCCTGGCCCTCTCTCCCTGGCACATCCCATCGGGGCTGGGCTGGCCAAGGGCACTGGTGAACCTGCAGCTCAGCGCGGAGTCACACTCGAACATGGGGGTGTGAGGGTGTGAGTGAGTGAGTGAGTGAGTGAGTGAGTGAGTGCAGCCGCAGGACCCACGGCTGACCAGAGCGGTGGGGAACTCCCAGCATTCTGAGCTGTTTCCTGTGGGCATTCCAGCTCCACCTGCTGGGGTGGAGGCCGCTAGCTCCTGTCGAGGAGCCAGCATGGCCACCAGCAGGGAGCCTGCTCAGGCAGTGGGGTGGAGTCCCTGCAGACAGATTTCCTGGGCCCAGGGCCCCACCCTCATCAGCTGTCACATGTGCTGACACCGCTGAACACCTCTAGCTTCAGTCAGCATCCTATGGTTCAGAGGTGAGGGTGCAGAACCCACCACGGCCAAGTGTGCCCAGACTGGAGTGAGCTCACGTTTGCAAAGTCCTAGGAAGAGTGCAGGCTCATAGCAGTTGCCCTGCAAGTGACTGTCACTTCAGAAAACAAGTTGAAAGCATTTGTACGAGAAGCGCTATTACCTATTAGCAAGCCCCTCGTTCCTTTGATACTGAGATGAATAAAACACATTTATCAAGCTCCTCACTTAACATCAAGATGAATAAAAAGAATTCCCACCAAGCTCTTAGAAATTTCCAGGAACGTTGCTGGGTTTTGCCTCAAAGTATTTCTTAATCACTTGGAGGAACGGGAAGGGGCACAGACTCCTGCGTGCACTGGAACCTGTACAAACGTGAGGCTGAGGAGTGAGACCCAACCCGGTGCCAGTGCCGGGCGACTCCTCTCAGCAGCTGGAAGTTTTCCGTGGGGTTGGAGAGGGTGAGGCCACAGCTGCTGGTGTGTCCGGCTGTGCTGACACCACTCCACACAGCACCCCTAAGGCAGACCCTTCCCCAGCATTATCCAAGCCCCCCGCTCATGAGTCTGGCTCTGCCTTAAGGTAGGACTGGGGGCATTTTTGGTTGACTTGCATGCACTGACAGCAGCCATGCTCAGTGACACCACAGCGAATGCAGGTCCCGTGCATGGCAGCCATGCTGAACCACACTTTCCCTCATGGGTCCCCTTAACAGACTGGCGACCAGGCCAGGATCGTCCACCTGTCCATGTGAGTCCTTCCAGCCCACCCTCACACAACCTGTGGGTATCTCCACGTTGTAGAGGACGCAACAGAAGCCTGGTAGGTGACAGGACCTCCCCAGATACACAGCTGTAGAGAGTGAAACTGGGTTCAAACGCAGCTGACCCTGTAACCTTCATCCTCCCAAGCCTCCCTGGGGGTTGCAGCCCGGCTCTCTGACACCTGCGCTCATTAACTACCTGGGCTTAAGGAGCCAACACGGTCCCCAGAGGGCTGGCTGCATCCTCCCCAGTCCACCGTCCTGCTTTTAGCCCAGACGCTCGGGGTTTGGCCTGGGTGCTGGCTTCAACGGGATCCACAGCTGTGGAGTAGATCGTCCACAGAGCTTCATGTCTCAATGGACGGGCAGAAAGATACAAAGAGGGATGGAGAAGAATGCAGAGACTCCCGGAGGGCACAGGGACCGCCACACACCTGATGACGAGGTAACACCACCAGAGTACTGGTGGGGGTGAATCTAGAAGCACGAATTAGGCAGAGACCCCATGTCCCACGGTGCTGCGCACGGGCAGATGAGCAGCCAGGTCCACTGTGGGGAATGTTGGGTGCCGTCTGGATGTGACGCCTGCACACGTACGGGGCTTTTCCTATCGACTAGAATCCACCCTGGTAGTCCTCACGGGATGACGGCCGCACTGTGCCGCAGAATGCAGAAATGTGCTGATGACAGAGGGCTTCATTCCTGTCATTCAGCATTCCTGTCTGTGCTGGATCACACGGCTCCACAGCAACAGGCATCAGACCACCGATCGGCCCCACTGAAACACATTGCAACATATTTGTTTTCACTTGGTAAAAGCAGGAGTTGCAGAAATTGATTCACATCAGCAACAGTTTGACAGTTTCGTGGGCAGAGTGACTCCCGGTGTGTTTTTCTGCCATGGTCCTCCAGTCCTAGATGGCAGACTAAGACATGGGGCGAGGAAATGGTTCTTCCGCCACTGACTTCATTCTCCTGGGCCTCTTCTCTGCCTCCCAGCATCCCGGCCTCTTCGTCAGCATCATCCTCCTGTTTCTCGGGGTGGCCGTCATGGGAAACTCTGTCCTGGCCCTGCTGATCTGGGGCAGTGCCCGCCTGCACACCCCCATGTACTTCCTGCTCAGCCAGCTCGCCCTCATGGACCTGACCCTAATCTGCACCACCGTGCCCAAGATGGCCTCAGACTTCTTCTCGGGACACGGGAGCATTTCCCGTCGCGGCTGTGGAGTTCAAATCTTCCTCTACTTGATGCTAGGGGTGGCCGAGTGTGTTCTTCTGACTTTCATGGCCTTTGACCGCTACTTGGCCATCTGCAGCCCCCTCAGATACCCAGTCATCATGACCCCGAGTGTCTGTGTGCAAATGGCCGTGGGGTCGTGGGCTGGGGGTGTGCTCATCTCCCTCATGCACACAACCTATGCCATGCACCTCTCCACCTGTGGCTCCAGGAGAATCCACCATTTCTTCTGTGAGGTCATGGCCCTGCTGAGGCTCTCCTGTGAGGACACCTCTGCCTACGAGAAGATGGTGCTGGCCTCCGGCATCGTTTTCCTGCTCATCCCTTTTGGACTCATCCTCACCTCCTACGTGCTCATCTTCCTCACCGTGCTCTGCATGAACTCCCCCGACAGCAGGAACAAAGCTCTGGCCACCTGCTCGTCCCACCTGGCTGTGGTCAGCCTCTACTTTGGCCCAGCCATGATCATCTACATGACCCCGGGGTCCTCCCTGCCCCCCGAGGTGGACCAGCGTCTGTTTGTGGTTGATGTTGTCATCACGCCCATGCTGAACCCTCTCATCTACAGCTTGAGGAACAAGGATGTGCTGTGGGCCCTGCGGAACGTTCTAGGGAGCAGGCTGATGCTTACACAGAAAAGGTGATGCTGCTTTTCATTCAGACGCCCAGATTCTCAACGCTTCTCCCACGGAACGCTGGTTCTGAATTCTGGATTTCCATTTTCAGCCACACTGGGGAAAGGACAGTGCCCCCTTTAATGTCACATTTGTAAGGGTGTGAACTATGCTGGAAAGAGGGGCGTGATCCTTGTGGGGCCTCTGATGTCCGTCAGAAGCTTCTGGTGAGCGGTGCAGCCGAATCAACCTTGGAAGGCAAATTTCCGGTTTCTATGAGCCTCGCGTATCAAAAACTTTTTCCAGAGGACCCTGGCATATGCATGGCAAAACATTTATGTGATTCAAGACACCCTGCGTGGTGACACGGTGCTAACACACCTGTCTGACCCCGTGTCTGCCACCCACCTCCAACACACTCCACACTGCAGCTGTTTGGGTCTTTCGGCCTGCACCCGCAGACAGGCTGACGAGTCGCCGCCTTTTATCATCGTCCCAGAGCGACGCGGCCGCCTGCAAGCTCCCGGTCAGTGGTGCTGTCCTGTGACGCCACTCTTAGCTCTCCCCTCGGTTTACTGGCTTCCTCCTTCTGGCTCCATCAGAGCTTCCCCTTTCTAAGGGAGTGTATCCTCTCCGCCTGGTAGAACCCCTTGTTCACGTGTCTGCCTCCTTCCTGGGACAGAGGCTCTGGCCTTACTATTTCTCAATGGTCCGTGTGGTTTTTGCACTGAGCCTCCCAGGAAACACGAGCTGAAATCCAATGGTTTCAGCTGTGCTCAGCGTCTTTTACTGGAGAACAGACCTCGGAGCTCTTGTTCTCGGTGTCTAACTACCTAGCAGGAACTCTTTGGACCAGACTAATCTCCCAGCCTAGGGCGAGACCCAACTCTAGCTCCATTTATGTGGCTTTGAACAAACTGAGTGTGATATCATTGTTACACTAGTGCTAATAACACAATACAAATACACTTGCTTGTTTATTATCCCTTGTCTCTGCCTATGTATTCAATTATTTAAATGTTAACATCTGATAGATTTAGGATGTTTACTGAACGGTGTTGCACAGTCAGCCAGTGAGGTCACTACTCTATGACTGACCTAAATGGAAACAGCATAATATCTGCAGATAATGGATCCCACAAGTTTGAAGTGGAATCGGAAATCAGACATTCCCATCAGAAAGTGACTCACAGGAAGGAATCTTCAAATTCGGCCCAGGATGCAAGGTCTCAGGCATGGACCTGATGAACTCATCTCTTTATTATTTCAGGAATAGGTCAGTTCTAAATGTCTCCACCTGCCAGTCACCTCCTCCATGTGTAGATGTCTCCTGTGGTCAATTTTACCTCTCAGTGCAACTCAAAAAATATTTATTTATTTATATCTCATAAATACAACATTAGGAACATAGTAATTCTTCCCATTGCCACCCACTCTCTCCTGTCCCTTCCCCCTCTCCTGTTTGGTTCAAGAAAGAAAAGGAAACAGAATGAAAGAAGAAGAAAACAAGAAAGAAAGAAAGAATGGAGGACAAAAACTAAGGGAGCTGTTCCCAATCGTCTGAACAAGGGCTGTCCTCCGTCAGTGCTTCCCAAAGACAGCTGTTCCCAACCGTCTGAACAAGGGCTGTCCTCCGTCAGTGCTTTCCAAAGAGAGCTGTTCCCAACCGTCTGAACAAGGGCTGTCCTCCGTCAGTGCTTCCCAAAGACAGCTGTTCCCAACATTTCCTTTTTCATCTCTGATTTTGTTAATTTGGGTCTTCTCTCTCCTTTTTCTGGTTAGTTGGGCCAATGGTGTGTCAATTCTATTTATTTTTTAGAAAAACCAGTTTTTTGTTTTGCTGCTCTTTTGTGTTGTTTTATTGGTTTCAATTTTGTTGATTTCTTCCCTAATTTTAATTATTTCTTTTCTCCTATCAGTTTTGGATTTGGTTTGCTATTGTTTTTCTAGATCCTTGAGATGCGCTGATAGCTCATGTATTTGGTGCCTTTCCAGTTTCTTGATGTAGACTCCAATTGCTATAAACTTTCCTCTTAACACTGCTTTTGCTGTATCTCATAAGTTTTGATATGTTGTACTGTCATCATCATTTGTTTCCAGAAAGTTTTTGATTTCTCTTTTGATTCTTTGATGACCCACTGTTCATTCAGGAGAATGCTGTTCAGTCTCCATGTGTTTGCATATGTTCTGGGGATTCCTGAGTTGCTGATTTCCAGCTTCATTCCATTGTGGTCAGAGAATATGCATGGTATGATTTTGATTTTTTTTAATTTGCTGCGATTTGCTTTATGGCCTAGTATGTGGTTAATCCCAAGAAAGTTCCATGCACTGGTGAGAAAAATGTGTATTCTTTGGCTGTAGGGTGCAAAGCTCTGTAGATATCTGTTAGGTCCACTTGGTCTATAGTGTCAATTAACTCGGCTGTTTCTTGGCTGATTTTCTGTCTGATTGCTCTGTCCATTTCCGAAAGTGGAGTATTGAAGTCCCCCATTACTGTTGCATTAGAGTCTATGTCTCTCTTTAGATTCCTCAACATTTCTTTTAAATATCCAGGTACCCTGTAATTAGGTACATATACATTTTTAATAGTCACCTCTTCCTGTTGAACTGATCCCTTAATCATTACATAGTGCCCTTCTTTTGTGTCTTTTAACAGTTTTTGTGTTAAAATCTATTATGCCTAATATTATGATGGCTACATCAGCTCTTTTTTGGTTTTTGTTGGCTGGAATATCTTTTTCCAAACTTTCACTGTTAGTCTGCGTGCATCTTTGTTGATGAGATGTTCTTCTTGTAGATAGCAAATAGATGGGTTTTGTTTTGTAATCCATTCAGCCAGTCTGTGTTTTCAACTGGAGAGTTGAAGCCATTTACATTCAAGGTGTCTATTGGTAAGTAACAACTTTGCTCTGCCATTAATAGTCCTATTTTTAACTTTGGGTTACCTTTGTATTTTTACTGGGCGATTTTCTGCCTTCCCCTTCTTTCACAGATGACCGTGTTTCTGTGTTTCTCTGTGTAGCACATCCTTGAGTATTTTTTGCAGGTCCGGGGGGTGGGGTGGGGTGGGGTGGTGGTGGTTAAAAATTCTTTCAATTTCCATTTGTCATGGAAGATCTTTATTTCACCTTCATTCATAAGTGAGAGCTTTGCAGAGTATAGTATTCTGGACTGACAGTATTTTTCTCCAAGGAGGACTTGGAATATATCTTGCCATTCTCTCCTAGCCTGTAGGGTTCCTGATGAGAAGTTAGCTATGAGTTTAATTGGGGATCCTCTGAATGTGATTTGGCATTTCTCTCATGCACATTTTAGAATCTTTTCTTTATGTTTTACTGTGGAGAGTTTGACTACAATGTGTCGCGAAATTGGGAGTTCTATGTGCTTCCTGTACTTGGATGTCCGTTTCCTTCTCCAAATTGGGAAAGTTTTCTGTTATTTCATTAAGAAGGCATTCTAATCCTTTCTCTCTTTCCATGCCTTCTGGAACCCTAGAACCTGTATTTTGGGTCATTTGATAGTATCTTATAGATCTCCAACAGTGTTTTTTAGTTTTCTAACTTTTTTTTTTGGTCTGACCATAAAATTTCCAGAAATTTGTATTCTAGTTCTGATATTCTTTCTTCTGTCTCACTTACTCTGTTGCTAAGACTTTCCACTGCATTTTTATTTGATCTATAGAGTTCTGCATTTCTAGTATTTCATTCTGATTTCTCTTTAATATCTCAATGTAATGGGAAAATTTTTCATATAGTTTGTGAATTTGCTTTTGGTTCCTTCTAAGTAGTCTGATGATTAATTTTCTGAATTCCATTTCTGGCATATATTCAATCTATTCATCTTCACCTTCTACTATTGAGTGCTGCAGGGTTCCTTTGGGGGGGGTCTCATAGTATCATCCTCATTCTCATTTTTTCCTTTGTTTTTTCAGCATTTGTGTGGGTCAGGCTCAATGAGCTCCACAGGATACTCCGCTGGGTGTGGGAGTTTGAAAACTTAACATCTGGTATAAACCCTCAGGTTTGCACGTGAAAATAAAGCATGAGCAGGCGATATTGTGATTTGATTGAGGGGCTGGGCTGGGCTGGGCATGAAAAAGCCAGAATTTCTCCCTGATGTACCAGGTCCCGAGACACCAAGCTTCCCCCAACACAGCCGCCCACCCACACTTAAGAGGCTCACCACAGACTTCAGGTTACCACTGTTGTTAATGACTTGACCCGGAACAGGCTGCAGGGAGGGAGAGCTCAATACCAGATAACAATAAGCCACGCAATGGCAGAAAAGAAAAAAGCACTATTTTCACAGGTATTGTTAAATGTAAAGCAATTTCCATGGAAAAAAATCTCATCTCACCCTATGGCACTAGGAAGCCTGTCGTAACTTGAGGCCTTCCACCCAAATCTGTAAATGGGTCCTTTTCACTACTTAGGAGTGGACAGACAGAAGGACACAGAACATGAACAACACTCCACTGCCGCTATGATGGTTAAGATTCTGTGACCAGGCCGGCGCCGCGGCTCACTAGGCTAATCCTCCGCCTTGCAGCGCCGGCACACTGGGTTCTAGTCCCGGTTGGGGCACCGGATTCTGTCCCGGTTGCCCCTCTTCCAGGCCAGCCCTCTGATGTGGCCAGGGAGTGCAGTGGAGGATGGCCCAGGTGCTTGGGCCCTGCACCCCATGGGAGACCAGGAAAAGCACCTGGCTCCTGGCTCCTGCCATCGGATCAGCGCGGTGCGCCGGCCGCAGTACACCGGTCACGGCGGCCATTGGAGGGTGAACCAACGGCAAAGGAAGACCTTTCTCTCTGTCTCTCTCTCTCACTGTCCACTCTGCCTGTCAAAAAAAAAAAAAAAAGATTCTGTGACCAGAGACAACAATGTTGTTTACCTAAACTGTGAGCCTCAAAGGGGTGATGGCACCTGGGACTTGGGATTCCTCAGCCCTGGCTCAGCATAGTTCCCTTCCGTGTCTGCTTCTCCAATAGGGACGCTGGCCTCAAGAGCACCTGCCTTCTCTACTAGCAGAGAAACTTTGGGATTCAAACACTGGGACAGGGCTGCTGGGATCTGCACGGCGCCCCAGCAGAGTGTGGGAAAGAGGCAATCACTCATCCCCCTGGCTTCCCAAACAATGTGACCGTCTCTCAAATTGCAGGACATGAACACGCCACAGGGCACCCATCCATAATTCAGGTTTCAACCCATAGGAGAGCTTTCCTCTCTCTGGCCCAACATAACAAAATTCACACAGGGACAAGTAAAAGGAGGCATAAGAATGATGCAGTCCAGAGAATGGAATGGAAACTGTAGTAATTTAATACGTGTTTTACAGTAACTGATGACATGAGTTTTAGAGTAAACAAAGACAAGATTTTGCATAAAGTTGAAATAAATTTGTTTTACTTCAGTAATTTCAACTTTATAAAGTTTTCTAAACTCTAACACTTCTAGCGTTCCTACTAAAACAGCTGATGATACACCAGAGAGAAGCATTGGTCAGAGATTCAACAACAATAATTACAAAAGAACAGCCAGTGCCACGGCTCACTAGGCTAATCCTCTGCCTGCGGTGCCAGCACCCTGGGTTCTAGTCCCGGTCAGGGCGCCGGATTCTGTCCCGGTTGCTCCTCTTCCTGCCCAGCTCTCTGCTGTGGCCCAGGAGTGCAGTGGAGGATGGCCCAGGTCCTTGGGCCCTGCACCCACATGGGAGACCAGGAGAAGCACCTGGCTCCTGGCTTCGGATCAGTGCACAACGTGCCGGCCACAGCGGTCATTGGGGGGGTGAACCAACGGAAAAGGAAGACCTTTTTCTCTGTCTCTTTCACTGTCCACTCTGCCTGTCAAGGAAGAAGAAAAAGAAAAAGAAAAAGAAAAAGAAAAAGAAAAGAAGAAGAAGAAGAAAAGGAAGAGGAAGAGGAAGAAGAGGAAGAAGAAGAAGAGGAAGAGGAAGAGGAAGAAGAGGAAGAGGAAGAGGAAGAAGAGGAAGAAGAAGAAGAGGAAGAGGAAGAAGAGGAAGAGGAGGAAGAGGAGGAAGAGGAGGAAGAAGAGGAAGAGGAGGAAGAGGAAGAAGAAGAGGAAGAAGAGGAAGAGGAAGAAGAGGAAGAGGAAGAAGAGGAAGAGGAGGAAGAGGAGGAAGAGAGGAAGAGGAGGAAGAGGAAGAGGAGGAAGAGGAGGAAGAGAGGAAGAGGAGGAAGAGGAGGAAGAAGAAGAAGAAGAGGAAGAAGAAGAAGAAGAAGAAGAAGAGAAGTAAAACCACTTATCTTACATGAAAATATGTGCAACAGACATTCAGAACCTTGGGAGGACTTGGATTGATTATTTTATTCATCAAACATTTTAGGAAAAATGCAGTGTTTCTATGGAAGACCCACTATTTCCACAAAAGGTAAATGTTGAGAGGAATACGAGGTTGGGGAAAGCTGTATCTGCCTGGCCACCCCTTTCAGATGTACCCTGTCCCGTGTCAGTGGCTCCCAGGCACACACCCTCCTGCCCCATGATGCAGCCCAGGCCTGCCATTCCCACAGGAACACGCCTGAAATGCCAAGATTGCTTTGCTAAAAACAACACCTTGAGGCTTAGGATTACATTTTGTAGTATGTGAGAGGAAACAAGCATTTGTAGGGCCTGCCCACGCAGGAACAAACAAGACAGAGAATTGACTCAAACCAAACCATGACACCTGCAAGAAAAGGGTGCAGACTGTGCCTCCTCACACAGGACACCAAACCAAGAAAAAAGGGGTGCAGAACAGAGGGGAGACATGGTACAAACTTATGGCCAGACCACATTTACTCAAAGAAAACAAATCCGCAGAGGTGGGTGTACACAGACTGAACCCGTGGCAGAAGGCCCAGACCCCAGGGGCTTTTTTGTATCTTATGTGGGCTAGGAGTGGGGGTGTGGGGCAGCAGGCAGAGGTGAATTCCCACACCTGGGAAGAACGAGGGGCATGTGAAACCAAACTGAGATGCAGGGGACAAGGGATAGAACCCTACTTCATCTCTTGGGCAATGAGCTATAGTGGCTGAGGCTTATGTCTTTGTCCCATAAAACACATTTCACTCACACTTCAAACATATCCTTGGGCTGTCACTTCTACCACACTTCCTGTTCAAGTTGTTTCCACTGAACGGCATGAACTCTGTGTGGCTCAAAACGGGCATCTCTGTATTTCAGGATTTTCCTCACACTGACAGCAAAGCAGAGCTTCCTGCCCATGCCTGAGACACTCCTGACTGACCTCATCTCCAGTCAGGGCTGGCCGAGCCAGCTGTTCCACAATCAGCCTGGTTTGCCATGTTCAAACAACCAGAACAGCAAACCCACACTTCTGCTTCTCAGCAAGATAGGCAACAGCATCCAGATGTGCCCTCGTGTGTGTGTGTGTGTGTGTGTGTGTGTCCACGCCAACAGGCTTCAGGACATCAGACACCAGGAAGCGCCTGAACACATCAAGAGGAAGAAGCCTTGAGACACAGGAGGGGTGTGGAGGGGGCATGGTCATCAGTGCAGGGAGTAGAAAGGATTGCAAAGTTCCCAGCACACAGAATCGAGAATGTCTGCGGTGATGGATACGCCCCGTACCCTGATCTGATAACACACAAGGAACACAGGCTTTGAAATACCACATTTTCTCCCTCAACACGCACAATAATTATGTGCAGTTAAAAGATCAAGAGGCAAAACTGGGTCCGTAGCTCCTCTTTGAGTCTGGATTGAGGGGTGATTTCCCTCAAAATTAACTCTCAACGTGCCCCCAGAAAGCAGCTGGACTGCGTTTTAGGTGAGTTACGCAGCAACTTGTTGAATTGCTCGCCCAACCTTCTTAAATGAGAAACTCTCAAACAAAACACTACCCAGATCTTCCCCATTTGCCAGATGTGAGCCTACAACATTCCTTTTAATTACACACAGCTGAGACGAGGCTCCAACGGGCTCACTGGAATTTTTCTAAGCCACCCACACTGTCTTTCTCACACCTCACATTTGCTATTTGCTTTCATGGCAAAACAAGTAAACAGCTATAAACTTGCTCAGAACCTCAACCCTTTCCTTTGGGTAACTACACTGTTAAAATGTGAAAAGTGAGTTCTTTCTATGAATACTGAAGCTGTTCTGACATTTAAAATGCAAACAGCGTAACAAGAGTCCAGCACAAGACCTGCCTCACGGTGCTGCCTGCACGTGGCACACAGCTAACACTGTTTGCCATGCTGCTGCTGTGTGCCTGGCCAAGGACTAACACTGCCTCCTGGGGGGACAGCAAAGCTACTGGACCCCAAGCACTCATATTTAGGAGACGACCTCTAGGGCTACAACCAGACCAAAGGCAGTATTAGACCAGGCAGTACTAGAACCAAGAAGGAAGTGGGCACTTAGCGCAGTTAGTAGCCGATGTCCTCGGCCTCCCAGATACAATGCAGGCATTGCTCTAGATCCTGGGAAAGAGCAGCAAACGCACAGAGACCAGGCCTGGCCTTCTCCGATGTTACTCTTCACGAGACAGAGCATGACAGCAGGAGTGTCAGGAAATGTATGTGCTGATCCATGAGGTGAAATAACAGCTCCTGGACGCCATGTACACACAGACACACACTCACATACACATGCTCCATAAAGCTCATGGAAAGTAGGAGTAAGACAAGCTTTTTGGTGAAAAATTTTTTTTTGAAATTAAAGCATAATATTTTGGGGGGATACACATTGTTCATGAAATTTTGAAGACCCATCTTGTGCCTGTATATATGCCAGGACCTCCCCAAAACCCCACAACCAAATAACATCACATCATTTAATATGAACTATGAGACAGTATAGCACATCCTGAACTATATCACATAACATCAGTTCCACACACTATAGAAACATACAGTGCAGAGACCCAGGTGTGGTGCAGCCACTATTAGTTTCAAAACTGACCATGTCACCTTCCTGCCATCTCAGCAGGGTCTCTAAGGTCATAGGTTCCCAACTGTTATCACACTCAGGGAAACAAACACACCTGATGCTAAGTGTACGCCCACGCAGTATTTGCCTTTTGGTCTAGGGACACGTGTGTTTGCCAAGTGTTCCCAGGCTATTTTGAAACGAGCTGTCTCCCCAGGGCCTTCTTCAGAGCCCTCACTACTTCCTTGTTGCGGAGACTGTAGATCAGAGGGTTCAACAGGGGCGTGATTACGGTATCAAGTACAAAGAGATGTCTGTCCAGCTCTGGGGAAAGAGTAGAACTCGGTGTCATGTAGATGACCATGGCTGGACCAAAGTAGAGACTCACTACAGTGAGGTGGGAGGAGCAGGTGGCCAGGGCTTTGTTCCTCCCTTTAGGGGAGTTCATGTGGAAGACAGTGAGGAAGATGAGGGCGTAGGAAGCCAGGATGAGGCTGAAAGGGATCAGGAGCAATACTGTGCCTGTGATGAGCACCACTTTCTCATAAACGGAGGTGTCCTCACAGCAGAGCTTCAGGAAGGCCATCACTTCACAGAAGAAGTGCTGAATCTCCCTCGAGCCGCACGTGGGGAAGTGCATTACATAGATGGTATGGGATAAGGAAGCAAGAGAACTCCCCACCCAGGTCATGGCGACCATGAGCAGGCAGACCCTGGGACTCATGAGCGTGCAATATCTCAGTGGGTTACAGATGGCCACGTAGCGGTCATAGGCCATGAGGGTCAGGAGGACACTCTCTGCTGCTCCTAAGGTCAAGTAGAAGAACATCTGGGTCCCACAGCCGACCTTTGAGATTTGTCGCGTCCCGGAGAAGAAGTCAGCAGCCATCTTGGTGACGGTGGATAAAGTCAAAGTCAAGTCCATGAGTGACAGCTGGCTGAGCAGGACATACATGGGGGTGTGGAGCTGGGGGTCCAGCAGGATGAGGGTGATCAGGGTGGCATTTCCAGAAACAGCAGCAACATAAGTCAGAAGAACGATGGAGATGAGAAACTCGGGGTGCCCGGAGTTGGAGAAGAGCCCCAAGAGGACAAAGCTGACGCTGGCTGTCTTGTTCCTGTTCCCCATCCAGGGTTTTAATTACCTGAGCTGATTCTGATGAGAGTAGGAAAATAAAATGTACCTTAAGGCTTTGTGAACACCCTACATCTTATTCAACCTTTCTGATTGTTATGGAGATTTAAATAAAGCCAGAGGTCTGGATATAAGGAAATGTTTTTTGCATGTTTTTTCCTGTATTCAGTCATTTTCAAGTGACAACTGAGGGGGACAGATCATGGTACCCGGTTTACACAGCCAACACAGGAACTGGGGTGTTTGTTCCTGTGGAATGCATTTATCATGTCACGGAAAGTCATGGTTGTAGCTGCCTGGTGTTTGCTGGGACTGTGAGACTGCCAAGACCCCAGAGCATGCCGGCCACTCTATGCCGTGGCCAGGCCAGGAGTGGTGGAGGCGATTTTAGATGAGGAGTGAGATCAGACTGCACAGCTGAGTGTGCTGCACCTCACCGTGCTTTGGAAGGAGGCTTCGCAAGGCAGTGAATGTCAGCGATGATGTTGCCTCGACTCCCAGAAACCTAAAGACACAGCAAAAAGAGCCCCAAAGTTCCAGATGCCTTGGCAAAACAAGCTAGATTTCCTACACATAATGTATTGATCCTTCTCTCTGCATATGAAACACCCACCCTCTCCACAAGACTTCCGATTCTCCTCCCCGTGTTTTCCTCTGACTCGATCCTTACAGGATTCTCCCAAATCCTGCTCACTCCTGGGTCCTACCAGACTTGGATCAGATGTGTCACTTGACATCATCTTGCAGGGGTTACACACTCCAAGCAGCACTTGGGAAAGATAAGCCAAAGGAGGAGTGGGCGGAGACCATGATGCACTGCTGTGCCTGATTCATAATCACCGCCAGTGGAGGAGAGGTTTGAGCACTTCCCATGCCCTGCCCAGAATCCTCCCTAAGCAAGAACCTACTCACAAAGCACCTACTGAGGCCCCAAGCACCTACAGATCTTTCCACTTACCAAGCACTTACTGAGCACTTCCTCGTGCCAAGCATGGATACTCACTATTACTCCACCATGAGAGCAGGACCACCTCTGGGGAGACAGCATTCATCAGAATACCAGGCAGGGAGTAGGCAGGCAGGCACACAAAGAACTCCCTGCAGGTGTCATGAGCACGGCGACGGAGGAGCGGAGATTCTGTAACTCTGTTATGCACCTGTTTCAGATGAGGTGCACGTCAGGGAAGGTAACTCTTAGAAAGCATCCACTCGGGACCCAAAGGAAGAAAAGGCACAAGCTGGCCACTATGAGGACCAGAGGGGAGGGAAGCTCCATGGCCCTGACCTGGGGCTTCTGTGGGTGGCACCTAGAAGAAAGTGGAGGACACGACTTGGTTGGGATTTTTGCTCACTTCCAAAATACCTTAATGAAGGTGCCTGGTGACCTGAAGCCCTGGTTTCCTCATTTGGGAAGCGCATACAACAAAACAATGCTAAAAGACAACAGATTCTGGCCACATGCTGGCTACCGGAATCCTCCACACTGGAGTCCTCCTTCATTGTTCACAAACAACTCTGAGTGGGGGCAAAAGCACAGAGGGCAGCCCACTCATCCCACAGCACACAGCTCCTGACCACCCAGGCAGGGTTCCAACCCATGCAGTCTGTTTGCAGAGCCCCTGCACTCAGCCACTCAAACACCTGCATGGGTGTGCGTTGCCAGCATGGGATGAGCAGGTGCTTACACAGCATGGGCCACAGAGCCTGGGCAGCAGTAGCGGTGATGGCCAACACTCTCACTGTTCTCTGTGAGTACACAAGAGGGTGTCCTGGCCACGTGCATCACAAGGCAAGGTTTGCTCTGTAGGCGTCAGCCTTGCCAGGAACACTCTGCCTCTCCCCTCGCTCAACCAGCCTATACCTGGATCCTAAGTAGTTTTTCCCATGTTCATCTGGGATAAAACAGCAAATCAAGAAAGGATTTTCTTTCCACTGCATTTATGTCTCTTCTTCCTGAATCATAACTGCCAGGCCTGTGGTCATCAAAGCTGACTCACGTTAACTCATGTTAACTGTGGTCCAGATGGCATCCGAACAGAGCAACGTACAGAGTCAGGACATGGCTGCCCACCTGGTACGCCAGACACGGCAGGTGGCAGGGAGACCAGAGCGAGGCTGTGAGGCTGAGATAAACGCGCAGAGCGAGACTGCGGCTGGCAGCACCCTGCGCGGTGCCCACACGCTCTGAACAGCCCCTGCCTTGGTCAGCACTCCCACCACCCTTGAACAAGGGCTGCTCCCCCAGAGGAGAGACTGGCACTCTGGCACATGATCCGGCCATGCTGTCCCCAGGGAGCTGACCTCATACCTCTCACTCAAGCCTGCAGGGGCAGGCCCTGGGGAGGTGCAGAGACGCACTCCTCCCTTCTGGGCATGAGCCGAGGCTGGCGAGGCAGGAGAACTCGCAGTGCTGGGTGGGTGCCAGCCAGCACCTTCCTGCCTGACCATGCTGTGCCCATGCCCCAGGCACAGCAGGGAGCGCACGCAGGGGATGCCGATCGCAGAGCAGCTATCTCGGGGGAGCGTCCTGGCCCAACAAAACCCTCAGGCGTTAATTATTCCAAGTCCCCAGACCAAGCTGCCGCCATCAGGCAAAAAGTCACACACATGCCTGTGCTCGGGTCTGGACAGCCAGACAAGCGGTCATGGCCCTGCCCCGGCCCGTCCAGCACTGCTCCATGCCCGCCCTTCCCACCCTGGTCAGCCGTGGATGCCTAAGCAGAGACGCGGTGACTACAAACTGTCCTCCTCGAGAGTGTAAGGACAGTGTCAGGCACGTTGATTAGACAACCTGAGGTGGGTGCAGGGAGAGAGAGATGATCTCACTGATGCACTCTATACTTTTTCTAAAGGACATCTCCCTTACTCCCTGAAGTGTCTCTCTTCCTGTATTCAGCTCTGGGCTCTGCTCCAGTGGTTTCCATTTCTCTTTCACACACACACACCCCTAACCACCACCTCGCACATTTTCTATTATCAAACATCGTAAACTCTTTAAAAAATACTTTTCATTTGGAAATATGCTAAAGGCACAGCCTGTTGTATAGAAACCATTACAGATGAACAAGAGATGGGCCCTGCAATGAACAGCCCCAGCAGGGAACGCTGTGGTGGAGTAAGTGGGTGAGGAAAGAGATCCATGGAAAGCTACCTAACTTTTCTGAGAGCCCAAACCATGGACTGAGGCTACGAGTTATGAGACTGCCTGAAAACAAACCCAGTGGCCCAGGAGGCTGAGGTGGCCCCTGGAAAGAAGAGCAACAGATGGAAATAAGGTTACACCGCTTTAGACAATGACAGAGAGTCCCACAAGGTCACTGAAAATGTTGATTATTAAAAAACTATGGGGCTGGCACCGTGGCACACTTGGCTAATCCTCCGCCTGCGGCACTGGCACCCCAGGTTCTAGTCCCGGTTGGGGCGCCGAATTCTGTCCCGGTTGCCCCTCTTCCAGTCCAGCTCTCTGCTGTGGCCCGGGAGTGCAGTGGAAGATGGCCTAAGTGCTTGGGCCCCTGCACCCACATGGGAGACCAGGACGAGGCACCTGGCTCCTGGCTTCAGATTGGCGTAGCTCCAGCCATAGTGGCCATTTGGGGGTGACTCAACGGAAGGAAGACCTTTCTCTCTGTCTCTCTTTCTGTCAAATAAATTTTAAAAAATTTTTAATTTAAAAAAAAAAAAACTATGCATGGGTTTCAAACACTTTGTACCAAAGTGAACTTATATTTTAATTCTATTTTCTGCAGACTCTTTGACTACCCTGGCATTCCCAAGAGCCAACTCCAGAGCTCCCGGTCACAGTTCAGTTCCCTGGGACATCTCAGGCCCCCCCATCAGAAATGGCTCTAATGCATGCCTTGGGGGCCCTGCCTTTGATCCTTTGCCCTGCACTCACTCCCCCAATTCCATGACAAACAATAAGCCACTGTCCATAGTGGGATGTCAATGTGTCTACCCGAATAACGTCCACAAAGCATACACTAATGTCATCTATGAACTGAGTTTCAACATCTCTCTCTGTAAAGGAACTCCCAAAGTAACCACGGTTCAAACAGGCACTGTTAAACAAGCATTCCTGCAATCACTGACCCTCGGAGTATAGCCACAGGCCCTGAGATACAGACACTGAGGTACAGAGCTATGCACTGAGGTGCCTGCGAAGATGTTGTATAGGCCTCAGAGAAGTGCCTCTTGTTTTTAAATCAAGCATGCAGCTGTTTAAATCTTGAAAGTGATGGAAGAACTTGTGACGACCATTAATGATGACCTCACTGGGGTCTTGGGAGCACTGCGAGGATTCACTGAGACAACACAGAGACCTTACACGAGTTCCAAGTCTTAGAAAATACATCATAAGTTAGTTATTATTATTTATGTTGTTGTTATCCCTGCCTTAAATAGAATAGACTGCATTGAAAGGCAGCTAAAATCAACAGAACAATTCGATCAAAACTAAAAACTGGGTATGTGAAGCATGATATGACTGTGAAGAGTGGAAATAAATCCCCTCCTCCAAGAAGGATTTGCATCCCTAGGACGTTCCTCACCTTATCTTATTTCCAGTCATGCCAGCGACATCATCCCTTATTTGAGGACAATTACAATGCCTGGTTAACTTGCTATTGGGATTTCAGAGTTAAAGCTAATCCTTGAGTTTATTCAACAGATATCAGTGTTAACCTAGCACACATCCAAAGGTGTTTCTGACTGAAAGCATTTATAGGGGCCAGTGCCATGGTGCAGTAGGTTAATCCTTTGCCTGTGGTCCCAGCATCCCATATGGGCGCTGGTTCTAGTTCTGGCTGCTCCTCTTCCAATCCAGCTCTCTAATGTGGCCTAGAAAAGCAGTAGAAGATGGCCCAAGCCCTTGTACCCCTGCACCCAGAAGAAGCTCCTGTCTCCTGACTTTGGATCGGCGTAGCTCCAGATGTTGCGGCAATTTGGGGAGTGAACCAGTAGATGGAAGACCTCTCTCTCTCTGTCTCTACCTCTCAAACAAATAAATAAATAATCTTTTTTTAAAAAAGAGCATTTATAAAATACACTGCATGTACCTGGCTACTTAATGCTTACACACACCCAAACAATCACTCCCACATGTACAATCTGGTGAACCAAAGAAACTACCTATTTTAAAAAAAAAAAATATGGAATACTTCACGAATTTGCATGTCATCTTTCTTTTTTAAAAAAAAATTATTTATTTTTACTTGAAAGTAACAGTTACAAAGAGAGGAGATGCAGAGAGAGAGAGAGAGAGGTCTTCCATCCGTTGGTTCACTCCCCAGATGGCTGCAACGGGTGGAGCTGTGCCGATCCAAAGCCAGGAGCTAGGAGCTTCTTCTGGGTCTCCCACATGGGTGCAGGGGCCCAAGGACTTCAGCCATTTTCTACTGTTTTCCCAGGTCACAGCAGAGAGCTGGATCGGAAGCAGAGCAGCCTGGTCTTGAACCAGCACCCATATGGGATGCTAGCATTGCAGGAGGTGGCTTTACCCACTATGCCACAGCGCCGGCCCCATGCATGTCATCCTTCTGCAGACGCCATGCTAATCTGTATCATTCCAAGTTTAGTATATGTGCTGCCAAAGTGAGCAGGAAAGCACCTCTTAAAGATGAGTCTTTTCCAACTCGAGGTATACCTGAGGTTGAGGGCAGGTAGGAGGAAGGCAGGTGGAGGTTTCATTTTCCTATTGGTTATTTTGGAAACAAAACAAATTCAGGGGCCGGTGCTGTGGCATAAAGGGTAGAGCCGCCACCTGCAGTGCCAGCATCCCCTATGGGGGCCAGTCCAAGTCCCAGCTACTCCTCTTGTGATCCAGCTCTCTGCCATGGCCTGGGAAAGCAGTAGAAGATGGCCTAAGTCCTAGGGCCCCCGCACCTATGTGGGAGACCCAGAAGAAGCTCCTGGCTCCTGGCTTTGGATTGGCCCAGCTCCAGCTGCTATTGCAGCCATTTAGGGAATGAACCGGTGGATGGAAGACCTCTATGTCTCTGCCTCTGCCTCTCTGTAACTCTGCCTTTCAAATAAATAAATAAATAAATCTTTGAAAAAAAATTCAGTGGGAGCAGTTTGAACAAAAAATCCAGGGTTATCTGCAATTAGGAAAGAAGGTGTGGGTTACTGTCCTGAACCTCAGGAGCTACATGACTTTGAATATCGCTCTTTCTGAAATGTTGAGATGACAGAGCATAGTCTCCACCTCACATCATGCTCCTGAGCACACAACAGGAGGTACGTGAAAGCATGGCTCAACTGTACGTTCCAGAACAAATGCAACGTGTTTTCCAATCTCAAATCTCGACTGCAGCCCCACCACATTCCCATGTGCAACTGGCTCAGAGCAGACCTGGAGCAGGCACCCAGGACAATCAAAGGATCTACAGGGACCGGAGAGGGCTTCGAGTCCGTGTTCACTGTGTCTCTTGGGGAAACACAACATAGAAAGGCCAGCTAAAGGTCCTTGTCACTGCAGAGAACTGTGCGGAGAAATGAGTGCCTCCATCAGCTAGATGAAATCCCAAACTATGGAGAAAAGCTTTGCATAAAATCCCACCTAACAATACACAAATTTTCTCATATAGATGGCAAGAAGAAATCATAGCTTCTGTCTACCTGACTTGATGGCCCCCAAGAAAATGGACAAGAGCCAAGACATGCATAGGTTGTCAACCCACATATCCATAGATTTGCCCAGGAAACCAAGGTAAGATGAGGGGGAGGGGAGCCAGTCTCCTTGACCCAAAATCTGTCTTCATTGTATTCAACGTGTGTCATTAGCAGCCTTATTTCAGTGGAGTCAGAAGTCGGTTCTTTGGACTAAGATAAAAAACATTTCACAAACAAATCCAAAGTTTCAGATTAGCTTCTGTTCTGTAAGATGTTTTTACATCGCTGTGAGTTGCCCTTTAAATCACTGCCTTTGAACTAGAAAAAAGGAACAACCCTCATCCTCTTTCTCCCCACTGTTGAACTGACTCAAAAGTGATCCATTGAGGAAATTTCCCCAAAGTGATCAACTTTACAAAACAAATCTTTAAAAATAAGGAAAACTCCAGTAGTGGCCATGGATTACGGGCTCCTCTGGCCATGTGATGTCCGTGAAGGGAAGCAGGCTCCACCTGTCATGTCACCCATCAGAAGCTGGGGAGACCCATTTCCCCAACATCAGTGACACACTTTCTGTT